AGTGATACATCAGTGACGTTTCAAACCAAAACACCAGTGATTTAATTCTGCATTTATCATAATATTATGACACATAATTTCACAATTCACGTACCGAAAACGAGCTTAACAGACGGATAAACTGTCACGCAGCGGTAAGTCATTCTCAAGACATGTGCTCTGTTTTTCTGGAATATGGTGCAATAAATTGTGAGCCGAGTTAAACTTTTCTGTCAGATGACCTTGTGTTTTTTGGCCAGGGCCAGAGGTAGGAGGCAGGACCCCTGCGCGCAGCAGCTGAATCGTAATGAATGAAGAGACAGCAGCTTTTAATGCAGAATACAGTCGGTGTAAACATGGCCTGAACCTGAGGGCACGAGGAAGGTCCGCGCTACTATATGATCAACTGCTGCAGCGACTACCACATGATTACCCGCATCAATTTTTTATCCCCCCGAACACCGTCGGCTATGTTTATTGGAGCGCCCAGCCACGACGAAAACAATAGAAAAGAGAGCCCGATCCCTGCGGTGGTGGATAAGTTTGTTTCCTCCGGGCTATTTAAGTGCCCATGTGGAGTCTCATTAAACTTGAGATTGTCACTTTATCCAGAAATTATGCCACGTTCACACCAGGTCTTAATTAGCAGAAAAATACATGAAGACTGCAAAAAAAAAAAAAGGAAAAACTGAAAAACTGATTACGCAAAGTGTAAAGTGTGTTAATTTTTGAGGCCTTGCTATGTCCCACTTGGCATCACACATGGCATAAATGTTTCATCACAGAGTCAGTCCAGCGGTTTTGGCAATTCTGAGTGTTTAAAATAAAAAAAAATAAAAAAAACAATTACGCTACCACAATTAGCACCTATTCCAAAAATGCACACAGTGTTTTGCAGTTCAGCCCTGCTCCACACAAACAAACAGACACAGCCAAGTTTGGATGGAAAAGTTCAGGATAATAAAAAAAAAGGCCTCCTCCTGCCTTTGTGCGTCTTTCAGTGTGACACCAGAACAGCATTAAATCAGCATCAAAGGAGCGGGTTACTGTAATTTCACCAGCTGAAGTGCTCTGCAGAAAGATATGGTACATTATAGGTCCCCTGTGACTTTGCTACATTAAATGTCTACCGCGACTATAAGCTCGTTGACAGTTTTGTCCAACCTCTGCTGCTGCTGCTGCTGCTGCTGCCTGGTCGCTGGCTTTTGCCTGACAGGGAGAAATCTTGACACTGGAAGACAAAAGAGGCAGAAAGAGGGATGGAATACACAGGAGGCTGAGCTGTTGGATTCTGGCAACTCTTTATCCCTCCTACTCTCGGTACACACACACATACACTCTTCTTTTGTTTTGTTTTTCTGGCTTCACCCCACATCCACATCATTATAAATATGTACAAAAAAAAAAAAGTACAGTCCTTGCTGTTGCATTCTTACGTTGCCATGAGTACATAAATCTAAAGGCTGCGTAACATTCTTCCCATCTGGACTAACAAGTTGTGTGCACGCCTGACCTTTCCGTCTCTCTGCGGCCAGTCAGCTATTCTATACGCTCCTGTTTGCCAGTTAGCTTACAATACATCCGCCAACCCGTCTGCCCGTCCTCTCCTCTGTCTTTGCGCCAGGCGACAAGCTTCCCCTGGCTGTCTGAGGTGCAGTCGATCATCTCGCTGAAGGATGATCAGCGGGAATTATTGAAGGAGGACACAGTTGTCTTCCACATGCATTCTTTAATATAAAACGGGGGGTGTGAAGATGCTGGGTAGTAACTGGCATCGCATCATTAGGGACACTCTTTCATTTGGCAGTGACACTTTCAGAAATAAGGTGAGATTTACATTCATAACTCTGACTTTTGCGTGCAATCTTGAGCTTTAATGTAAAAAGAGCAACTCGGTGAGATATGAATGAGATGTGGGCCCACTCTGCATATATATAAGAGTGTGTTTAGTGCACTTGAGGATGACTGTGTTTACGTGCGCACCTACATTCAGCTGCACGGCCGTCTGTCACACTCAAACTACGGCAGCTGCTCTGTCAACACCGTCTTTTAATGTCCCCATAAAGATTTCTGCGATGTGCTGCGGAGCTACAGGTGTGCCGCCTCCTCTTTAATGGTGTGAGTGTTTCCATCCATCTGTCTATACCTCTTTAACATTTCTAAAGGTCTGTATCCACTTGACTCACGACGGAGGAGGAGGAGGAGGAAGAACTCCGGTGGGGAATTATAGAGACAGGTCAAAGGTTCAGCTGAGGAGAAAAACAAATACCAAATTGGCTTAAGCATTATGCCGCGCTGATTAATAGCTCTCTGCTCATTACGGCATGCTAATCAAAAAAGTGTAATATATCATAAATCTAATATGTTCTCCGACTACGTTTTCCAAAAAAGAAGGGGGTGGCATAATAAGCCAATTACGGTATGCTGACTATTGACCCTGGAAACTTTCAAAATGTCACGATCTATTAGCACCAGCATTTCTCAGAGCCGGGCATGCTGCAGGGTATTCCCTAAGCCAGTTAGCAGACATGCTATCGTAAGTGTGTACGCTCACTAAAGGGTATTAGTATTTAGATTGGATTTAGTGTCGAACATGATTCATTTGCGAGTGGTCACTAGTGGGTGTAATAAAACATCTTCGAAGTCTCATTCACTGAACTCGGTGGTGCTTTTAAAACATCTGCTGTGATCTCGCATGTGAAGCCTTTACAGAGAGTGTGAAGGCTGAAGAGGTTTATCATACAAATCAGTTCACTTTACAGTTACTTTAAACAAATCCCCTAAATGTTGTTATGCTAAATATTAATGTGAAGTTTAATTCATAGAAAGCACAGTTATCGATGGAAGTAAACAGTGTTTTTAAATGTTTTACTTCTCATAAAGGTCTATAATTCTTATCTTTGAGTTCGATTGTTCAGGACAGATAAACAATGTCAGTTTAGTTTGGTTTACCTTCTTGTTGACATACCTGAAAGGTTTAATAAAAAAAAAATGTAATGTAAAGCTGAAGTTTACACCCTGGCGAACTTTATCTGATGATGAAGATCATGTGAAAGGATCGTAA